CGATCAGCCATGGTCGCGCGTTGATTAGATGGCGGTCGAGACTCTCGCCTCGGAGGATGCAGGCCTTCTTCTTACCCTGGAGTGAGTTTTAGCCATGCTGCAATCTGCTCTCAAGGTTAGCGGGCAAAGGGCCTCTGAGCATAGGATGAGTACGTTTCCGGCACTGGGTTAGGCACTCAGGGAGCAGCCCTTCTAGGGTGGCTTGCTGGCAAATCTTGAGCTTGGCCACCTCTTTTGGAAAGGGCCACATGCCTGTAAATGCAGACTGATAAACTCTGACCAGGAGCAAGAGTGGTTGCAGATTAGGTTGGAAATGATAGTATATATACTGTTCATAAAGGACTGTGCCAGACAAAATCTACCTTGCGAGGGAGTTGTGAGGTGGTTGGGAAGTACTTCACCTGTTTTCATGAGGACGCCGATTAGAACTCTGGGCTCAGGCACAGCATGAACTACAGTACTTCCTCATGATCCCCAGTGTTTACATGGGAGGCTCCAGTAAGTGGTATTTACTGGATGGTGCTCATGCTTCATAAGCACTTAGATTGTAAGACAGATAGACAGACAGACAGACAGACACACACACACACACACACACACACACACACACACACAGAGTAAAAATGGTCATCTGTGAACGAAATGTAATAGAAATTTGTACTGTCATTGCCTTCAAAATGGGATGAAGGGTTTGAAGTGCAAAGTTTACCCTTTGGGTTCATGAGAACAGTTCCAAACATGCAGCTGTTGGGCTATCCTGTGAGCCAGGAAGAGGGAAATGTGTGACTTTTCCAGTGTTGTTTTGAGTGTAGTTAATGGCAACTCTAGTCAGGATCGGCAATGGTCAGCCATGCTGGGAGTTGTACATCAGCAACATATGCAGGGCCACACATTGCCCATAGTTGCCTTACATTATGCCCTTCCCTTTGCTTGTACATTCATTTTGCACTCCCATAATAAGAATTCCAAGTGGCAGGCTTTGTGACTCCTGTGTGCCTTCTTGTGTTGTTGTTGTTTGTGCTTTCTGCTTCCTCCTCCTCCCCCCAATGGAGCAGAATGACTACCTACAAGTTTTAAAACATGTGAATGACATTTCCCCAAATTTGGAATATATTTAGTTTTGATGGCATAAGGCAAAAGGTGAAAACAACCGTCAAGCCAGTACAACTGGCTCTTTACCTAGTAGTTAGCCAGGAATTCTTCACAAAAACACCAGACCTTGACAGAGTTACTTTCGGAGCCCGTACTTCCCCAAATCCCCCAGACAGCATGGGTACTGACTGAGGGATTCTGAGAGATATAAAGTGCAAGCAAGTAAACGCGTTGCACGTTCTCTGACTAACAAGATTTAGTTTCTGTATATGAGTCCTGTAGGTTATGTGGCGTGCTATAAGCTGTCACATCCAACTTCTACAGTGATTGTAATGGGTTTTCAAGGTAAATGAGTGGTTTTGCCAATTCCACCACACACACCCCAGTGATTTTCTGGGGCTGAGTGGGGATTTGAACCCAGGTCTCCTGAGTCCTAGACTATCACTCCAGCCACTACACCACACAGGGTGCCATTGGATAAAGGCTGAAGGGGGTCCTTTCTTGAGAATTTGAAAGTGATGGAGGAAGAGAGAAACCATCCACTGACGTCATGCAGAAGGAACACCCTGACAAAGGCAAAGTACTCCTTGAGCACTATCAGAAGTAAATCCTATTGTATTCAGTGCGGCTTATGGCTAGCTAAATGAACATAGGATTGCTGTCTTAGTTTGAAAACATTAAAGGTAGTGCAGTGCTTTTGGGCTTTGTAGTCTTTTTGAAACAAAATCTTTGCATATTTTATAAAGTCCTTTCAAAATGCACGTAAGTGGTTTTAGGTATTTGTATATTAATTCCACAACTAATACTCTTATTGTATATTCATATAAACTTTATTTATAAACCTTTTATTTATACAAGACCCAGAAACAAAACCCTTTTCATAGTCAAATTTAGCCTAACTTAGGCCTAAGTCTAAGGGAGATTTTTTTACTGATAAATCATAGACTGACAACAATGAAAAGGAGCTAAGTAAGAAAAAAGTTACCAAGATTTTGCAAGTAACTGTCCAAATCTGAAAGAACCTGGCTTAAACAGCATGGAAGAGCTGAAATCAATTAAGCTGATTCAGGGAAAAACTAGAAAGGGTTTATTGTATTTACAAATTCTATGTTTTTCTAATAAAGATTATATACATTGTTACTCTGTCATGTTTTATCTTCAAAATATTTGTTAAGTGAAAGGTGGTATCAAGCTCAGAGTCATTCAGTGAACTCTTGTGGCTGAATGTAACATGGATTCAGGTTTGAATCTCCCCAGCATTACTCCAATACAACACCACACTGGCAATCACATTCTATTCTGAATTAAGATTTTCGGTTTTAGGGTTTTGAATGGCTACTCCATTCTTTTCCCCCAAATATGCATTATGGAAACCCATAGCTGCCAATTGATTAAACTGATTATTATTGAATGGCTGTGGTTAATATAAGTAGATTATTTGATGCAAAAGGCCATTCTAGCCACGTCTGTGTGTTGTGTGTTTAGTCGTTTAGTCGTTCTAGCCACGTCTACATAGAAGTAAATCTTGTTAGATTCAGTAGGGTGCATTTCCAAGAAAGTGTACATAGGATTGCAATGATACTTTCTTGATGGTAAGCAATTGTTCATACAACTATATCATTTAATGAGTAGAGATATTTGAAGCACAAAATGGTTCATTTGGGTAACTAGGTTTTGTGTGTTAAGTTTTTTCCCCCTGTAATTTTCTTTTTGCTGTCATAATTATATTTTATCCTGATCTGCTTAAATCTGCAAGTGTTGGTTTTGGAAGTGATTTTTGCCAAATCATTTAAATCTGAATTGTAGGCTGTAAGCACATAATAAAGGTGCTGAATGACCACAGCTGTGCCAGTTTCCCCTGAGGCTGTGAACTCAATGGAGTTTCTTTCTGAGTGAAGAGGATGATGATGATAATAACCCCTCCATGGACACAGGCCTTGTTGAAGTGGAGGGGCTTGTGTGCTTCAGTGAGGTTGAGAGCTATGCTGGCGGTAGTGTCGCTATCTGAAGCCAGAACAACTGTGCCCACCAACCATCAATTATGATGAGCGGAAATAAACAGAAATCCATACCGGATCGGTCGTCGCCATGTCATGCTACAGTCCCTGGGCATCTGGTGACAAATGGGTTACAGGGCTTAACGGACCCTGTTGAGGAACTGGGACAAGCTGCTGCAAAGCTACTGAAACAATATAAATGCAAAACTGGCGCTCCCACTGCAAATCAAGAAATTATGAAATGTTATTATGGAGCAAACCCAACAGCCCGTGGTTTGAAAAAAAAGAATGATGGAAACTTGGAAAATGAAACACCCAAATAATGGCACAACTGAACTATCATTAATGGACCAGAGAAGGTTTATCATCTGGAGTAAAGTGTTTTCAGAATTGGAATTGCAAAAACTAGAAAACATAGCAAAAGAAAAATCTACACAGAAGAATCCCCATAGTATGGAAGACAAATGAAGGGTAGAGATAGACATGATAGTGAAAGAAAATGTATCAGTAGAGGAATAACTAATGGAACAACCAAGAAATTATGAGTTGACAGAATGGCCAACATCAGTGAGAGAAAAATAGTAACCCATAATAGCCAGAACACAGAAAAACAAAGGCTCCCCATTTTGTGCCAGTTACAAAGTAAATCAGTAGAAGATCTACTGACAGATGTAAATGTAGTCATCAGAACAATCCCAACCAACATGCTAAAGGAAACAAACCAGCTCATGTATAGCACAGCTACCATAATAACTATGGAACTTGGTTACAAGCTGCAAAAAAACCCAGAAACGTCTGGCAATCCAAAAGCTATGATGTCTGTGAGCTTTGTATATTGATCTGTAATAATGTTCCAAATCAAATACTATGATCGTATGGTCAAATAACAGATGAGAAGCAGAAATGTTTTGACGTAATACTGAGTAGGCCTGCTATCAGTAATTTGTTTTTATAAATCAGTGATTCCCATCCTTTTATAATAGCCAAGTAACCTGTGACACCTCCTCCCTGACCTTTTTGGATAAAAAAAGGATTTTAATGGGGTAAAGCCATCTCATCCCAGGAATTATAGGTTTCTTTCTCCCCTAAAGAGCCTGTTTCTCTTACATACACATACACGGTAAGTTTAACATCCTGCTCCGAAAGAAATCAATTATTTAACAAGGGCTACAACATATATAAAGTGACCCACAACCTCCCAGAAATTATTCTGTGACCCAGGTTGGGAAACATTGTTATAAATAATCATAAAGAAAACCAGAATAATCAGAGAAAGAGAAAGGATCCCTTTAGACTACACTTGTAACAACCAAAAAATGGGTGACAGTAAGTGAGAAGTAGTGATCTTGAAACACTACAGTGGTGCATCGCTTGACAATGTTAATTCATTCCAATGAAATCGCTGTAGAGCAAAAACGTCGTCAAACGAAAATTTAAAAAACCCATTGAAACACATTGAAAACTGTTCAATGCGTTCCAATAGGCTGAATACCTGCTCATCCAGCGAAGATCCTCCACACAGCGGCCATTTTCGGTGCCTGTAAAGCGAGGAATCCGTCCTAGAAAACAGCGGGGGGCCATTTTCTTCAGCTGGCGGCCATTTTGAAACCCGACGAAAATTGGTTCCTGAAGCAGGGAACTGATCATCGCACAGTAAAAAAACCCAATTTAAAACATTGTTTTGTGATCACAAAAGCGATTGCAAAAACGTCAACGTAAAGCGAATTCGTCATAGAGCGGGGTAATCATCCAGCAGGGCACGACTCTATTTGTTTTTGGCCAAGTTATCAGAATGTATTCTTAACGTAGCATTGGTTAGTCAGTGCTTCAGACCCTCGTTAACTGATGAGTGGTCTTTCTGTGGTTGTGAGCAGAAACCTGAGCATTGACACTAGTTATGCATGGACAACACTCAACCTGGCCTATCAAGTGGAGAATCAGTTGAGGCCACTTTGTTTCTCATCCAAGTCCATTGGGAAGTGACAGTATGTGATCTCAGGTTCCCTTGGTGTCTCTTGGATTACCGTAAATAGAGAAAGAGATGTATCTTTTATTCCACAAAGCCTCTGTAGTAGAAACTGGAAGCCCAAAAGCACTGAGGAAGGATACTGATTGTTTGTTATTTTGGCTGTTAGTCATTAGTGAGAACATAATGGTCAACTAAAAAGGCCTTTGATGCATTTCATCCTGCTTATCTTCCATTCTTTGCCTCACCAAGTCATGGGTGCTTTGAGGTTCACTCCTTTATCCCTTAATGACCAAACCAATGGTTCCTGATAATCTAGTGTCAACCTAGCCACCCTGTTTTTGGACTGCCAGATATATTATTGAGCCCACCACATGCCAGAGCTGGGGAGGATTTGTAGAGATAAGGTGGCCAAGAGGAAGGTAGAGTTGGAGGTGAGAAAGCAACCAGCTGTTCTTGTTTCATTCCAACCAACTTTGCATTCTCTGTAATTGCATTTATTTAAATGAATACCACAGCCATAGGGCATTAGCACAAATGCTTACTTTCTGAAGCCAAACCTAGATCTTGGTCCAGTGTCCTGAAAGTGGACTGGGGTGTGTCCATGGCAATTTTGAAATTGGGGCCATGTTTTAAGAGCTCAGCTTGTTAGCAAGGAATTTTCTGTAAGTGCTAGGTAGGGAAAATGGTTTGAAGGCACCAGTCATTACACCCAAGGGTTAAGGTGTGTGTGGAAGATCAGTTATTACTGAAATTTAGAACTGTACATAGTGGTAAATTTATTTTCAGTGCAGATGATGGTACTAAAGAGTTTGTGCCGAAATGTCAATCATTGGATGGAAAGATAATGCCGGATAGGAAATAGAGGAAGAACTTCTTTTATACCACTCAACTAATTTAAATTTGAAGTGCCTTATTTGTTGGATTACATAATGATTGCAAAATAGGATGGTACTTAATTATTTAGGCCATCCTCTGTTTTCCTTACTATGGAATTCTAAATGAGTTAGTGTGCTATTATGTTTAGGAGAATGTGAACCAGAAGATACCAATCTCATTTCAGCCATAAGCTGATTGCGTAGCTTCACTTCACCATTGTTCATGATTTTAGCTGCAATCACATTCTCATGAAATATGGGGATGACTTACCTTTTAAATCTATTGCGAAATTGACTAAGGTAATATATACTGGATCTCTTGAGAGATCTTAAGAGAGGCACAATATACTGTATTGTATTTTTCCATTATAAGATGCCCCCATTTATAAGATTCCCCCCACCCCACTTTTCTAACCTAAAAATTAAGAAAATTTAGCTCTGAGTATTCAATTTCTGGGCTCGGACAATACGAGTCTCTGTTGTATCTGATCACTGCCTACAGCTCCACCTCCAATGAGGTGTGTTCCAATTGGTTTGTTCAGCATCAGCTGACGTCAGTTCCATAAGGCTCCTGGTTGGAGGAAGCTAAGCCTCGTGATTGAAGAAGACCTGTTTACAGAGGCAAGGTATGGGCCGTTTTGTTCTCTCCATGTTCTCAGCTTACTTTCGTGCATAAGATGACCCTCAATTTTTACTGTAATGATTTTAGGGAAAAAGTAGCATCTTATAAATGGAAAAATACAGTAATGTCTATGTTGTATGATTTCCACATTTTGTGTTATTTAGGATGAATCACAGTAGGCTCCTATTATTTAATTCTCATCAAGATTCATTGTTTCATCCATGTTGCCTCTTGTTGATAGAATTCAGATTCTGGAAAAGTTGCTATTTTGGAGAAAAAATATCTGTGATTCTGGAAGTTATAACCCCCCCAAACCAGCTTTTGCAAGTATGTCAGAAATGCCATTTAAACAGTGTTCCTCATGTATTATGCAGCTTTGGTGCACTTATTTATATCAATGCCAAATTGACACTCCTGCACGTAATATTCACATGTGTACCATGTATGCATGTATGTGCATGTGATAGCAATAGAAAGAAAGGTAATATTTGAGTAGGCATTTAGAGATTTCTGACCCAGATTCAGTTTGGCTTTTTTTTGGATGTTTTGCCCTAGCAATCCAAAAAACTTCTTAGTGACTTTCAGAAACAATGAATAAAATTGGTGGCAACCTATGAAAAGGCCGTTTGAAGTTGCGTCCTAGCAATTGCTTTGTGAATCCTAAGCTTACTGATGTTCTGTGTTTAATAACGTGTGATGGGTTGTGTTTGGTAAACCTTGCTTGCTTGTTTTGCTTACTTAGGAAAGAGCAAGAGGTTGATTCAAAGGATGCTATCATATTGCATCAATTTTCAAGGCCAAACAATGGGATTCCCAGTTTGTCTCCCTTCTGTTTGAAAATGGAGACTTATTTGAGGATGGCTGATTTGCCCTACCAGGTAAATTTGTGCATGTTTTACCTTGTCTATTTATAAACATATTGACAGGCCTTATCATAGCCTTGCCTATGGGATAAATATGTTTGTTTGCTCTAATTCTAACACAGAAATGTTCACATTGTGCAGAGCTGAACCACCCCATAATGCACATTTGGTGGCATTAGAGACTCCCATATCAAACTCTTTGTAGCAAGTTTAGAGATGGGAAGAGGTAGATACGTTTTTGGTAAGCCATCATATGTGAGCAGGAACATGTGATACCTTTATTCAACCATTAAAAATATAAAACCAAAGAAGGCACGCCATGCTTCTGGGCTCCCTCCTCTCCCCTGGCTAAAAATAATTTTCAAAAAGGGACAAAGGGGGAATGTGAGGGGGCCCCAGATTGTCTTGCTATTCTTTGATTTAAGAGATGGGCCATTAATTCCAAACTGTTAGCTGAGGAGAAGCTTGAAACCAACTTGCATACTACAGCTAAGAAGCTAACCTGGCGTCTACACAATCCACTCATAATTCATCAATGTGAATTTGGGACATCAATAACAACATATAAGCTTGGAACCACCCACAAGAACTTGATGCACAGTCTTGAAGAAGATGATTTATCATGAAAAGCTCACTGTTTGTTTGTTTTTGTTTTGTTTTATACTCTTAATGGTTAAATAAAGGTATCACCTGTTCATGCATGTTCATTGTTTCAACAACCATATGGCCACAACCATATGGCCTTTTCTTGATTTTTCCTGATATTTGAGCAAGTTTGGCTTGTTTTCAAAAAACAAATTTCTCAGAGTTAGAGACTCCCAACTCTCATTGATAAGATACCTGTTGTAAGAGTGTAAGGATGCAGTGCTTAAGCTCTCTTGCATGTACGCTTTAAATGAAATATTGCCTGACTCAAACAACTGCCCAAAATCTCCAAAGAAAAAAATGGCATACGGCCAGAAAGATCATGAAGATCAGTAGAAAACCACTAAGGGAGCAAACAGAAGTGTGAATAAATGTTATAGAGAGTTTCTGTAGAAGATCTTCTTTCAAAACAACTAAAACAGTAAATCATTTAGATTTGTTCAGCTGTTCATTTTGTACCTGGCTTTTGTTTTTTCCTGTTGCAAGGCAGTCCAGTTGCTGTTGAAAAGTAATTTTATGGCTATGTCTTGATTGTTTTTGCTGTTCCACATCTGGAGGTGATGGAGGTTGTGTTAAATTATATTTGAATGGATTAAGACCTGATGTTTCCTGAACCAGTGAGGTTCATGCACATGCTAAAGATGCTTCGTCCTTCACAAGATCTTTTTGATGGCTTGTGAAATCAAGGCTATGGATGCGGCTTGCTGGGGTGGAATCTGCATTAATCACTCACGGATTATGGCTCTCCAGAATTAAACTGGGAAATCTGTGTAGCAACTGGACAAATGTCTGACTCTGTCACATGTTTGGTAGGTGGAGAGCAATTCTCGTCTTCTGCCTTTCTGGCTTTGAGAAGAGGAAACCAAATTTAGACTCAAGTGATTTTAAAAAGCAAAGTATTTTTTTTTACTACAGCTCCTAGACTCTGCCAGCAAGAATGGTAAAATCTGATTGGTTGTGTCAAAGCTGGCTAGGCTAACCATCTCTGGAAGGAATGCAGCAATAAAAAAACCTAACTAACCAGTGATGAATAATGGGGTTTCTGCTCATTACTTGACACAATCCCAGAAATAATGTTTTTTGGGGGTACAGCCAAAACTCAGGTGGGTTGACCACATGCTGAAGAGCACCACAGTGCAATTCCTAGCATTCCCAGTAAAGCACCTCACTAAGAAATATCTTGTGTGAAACACTGAAGAATCACTGCTGATCAGAGTAGGCAGTACTGAATTTAGAGACGCTAGCGCTTTCACTAGGCATAAGGCAGCTTCTTTTGGAAGTGCTGTTAGTCAAGAACTGAGTTCTGGATATTGTCTATTACTGTCACAAAACAGGGTGATACAGAATTAATAACAGTGCAGCTAATTAATTGCATGGTAACTCCATTCAGAAACTACCTAATGAAACCTTTTCCTTTAAAACACCAGACAATTTTCATAAACAAACAAACAAACATAAATAGGGACTTCAGCAGCCACAGTAGTGTCTAAGAATATGCACTTGATTATAAGCATGAAGCAGCAGTGGTAAAATTGGCAGAAACATCCCAACTAGCTCTTATTCACAATAGCAAACTTCCCCTATCTTTCAACAAAGGAAGATGGCAATCTAGGTATAATCCAGTCTTGATATTTGCTAGTGTGTAGCCAACAATGTGTGAAGTTGTCTGTAGCTCAATTCTAAATATAAAGCACTAGTCCATGATGTGACAACTCATGATGGCAGTTCATCTATCAAGAGTACTGTTCTGCAGGAGCTATAATTTAAAAAAAATCCAATTGGCAGAAGTCCAGCACAACATTGGATACAATTACATTGAACATTTGACCAGTCCCAGAGGCCTATGACCAATTTCTTAAGGCAGTGAAAAGATTACCCCTACTATCCATAACCTGAGGATGCAGAACTAACTACCTCCAAAGCCTAAAATCAGAAAAAGTCACAAAAATGCTTATTTTTAATAAAATCTCTTAAGCAAAGAGACAATTTTGGCTGGACAACAATTAATTTCTCAGAAATTATAAGGAGTAATTGGATAAAACCCATGGGAGAAACAAACATATCAAGAAATAGTCAAAAAACTTGGAGATCATTAAATCAACAACTCAAGATGCTACTCATGCAGACATTTCAATAAATCAGATATCAGGTCAATGTATCATCATTAATAGTAGATATGAACATTGCTATAGGAAATTAAAACTTCAGCTTGAAAGAAATAAGCAACTGGAGACCAATGAACTTAAAAGATCATTCAGTTTAAGTGAACTTTAAAAAGCTAGTTGTATCTGCAAAAATGGTAAGGCAATAGGCCTGAATAACATCTGTGTAAAACATTTTTGCACAGAAACAAAAAAGTGGCTCCTTGTTTTCTTTAATTGTTTTGACTGTTTCAGAATTCCAGAAAACCTGGTAAAAAAACTCACAGACCCCCAAATCTTCAGGCTGATCGCATTACTTTATTACCTTTATACAGTCCTGTAAAGAATGGTTCTTAACTGTCTAATGGAAGTAGTGGAACTCGGGAAAACTGTGTGGCTTTAGACTTGGGAAAAATTGTACATCACAAATGCTATATTTAACACAATATATAGACGATGACTTTGAAACCAAAGAGATCAGGGGTAGCTTTTGTTGACTTCTCAGCAACTGAGGTTAATGAAAGCTACAACACTGCTCATCATCAAGTACCACTGCAAAAATTCTATAATCTAACCAAGAATTATAAACTAAGTAATAGCAGCTCTCTTGAAAATCACAGATTTCTCATCCACTTTCAAGAACAACACAGCCAATGGAGAATTCAAAAGAATGCTCTGTTCCAAAGTGTTGTACTGATTCCTTTTTTGTTCAGCATCTAAACCAACTTCCTAAAGGCACCAAAGTTTTGTTTATGCTGATGATCTCACAGTTGCTGCTCAGCTGGCTAGCTTTCAGATGGTAGGACATCTTCTGAGAGATGAATTAGAAGAACATATATTATGACAGAAATCTACTAAAACCTAACCCTACTAAGACTCGAGTATCTGCCTTCCATTTCAGAAACAGGCAGGAATCATGAAAACTTCAGGTTATCTGGAAGCGTGTCTAGATAGATCATTGTTTTCTACCTAAGTAAATACCTAAGCGTGTTTTTTTTAATCTGATGTTGACCTACAATAAACACTGCATAAATTCAAAGCAAAAGGTCTTTGTAAGGAACGATATCCTTCAAAGGCTATTGGGAACCAGCTGGGACACACAACCACAGATATCAAGAACTACATACTGTCTTGGCCCTATAGGAACATGCCAGCTCAGTGTGGTATATAGTTCAGCCTGTGCAGAATGGGTAGACATAGCACTGAAAGCAGGGAGGCCAACTAAATCATCTCTCTGTCTCTTTCTTTCTCTGTGTTGTTTGTGTATAATTTTTCCCTGTTTTCATTGTGGTGCTTCTCTTCTTAGAATTACTTTGATGGGAAACTTTCCCCTCAAGGGAAGATGCCATGGATTGAATACAATCGCAAAAAAGTATCCGGCACAGAGTTCATTATTGATTTTTTGGAAGAGAAGCTTGGAGTAAATTTAAACAAACATCTTGGCCCACATGAAAGAGCTGTTTCTAGAGCAGTAACCAAGATGGTGGAGGAGCACTTCTACTGGTAAGTTCCTTTAGCTACTGGAGTGCTCTCTGAAGATTTCAGACGGTGCTCTTTTTTACTTTTGGCACATTAATTGCTTCTGGCTTTGTACAGTAGGATTGTTTTGAGTATTGAGAACAAGCATTTTCATGTTAAGGGCCTCAGTCCCTTGGGAATAATATTTTGAGGGGCATATACTGAAACCCATAGGCATCAGGGTCAGAACCAAAACCTAGTAAGCCTACCTACATTATTTATCTCTTTTTTTCCTCTCTGTCTTTCCAACATCCTTGTTTTCTCTGTGCAGTTATGATATTGTGCAGTGGAGCAAATCAACATTCTACAAAGCAATTCTAATTCTAAAAATGGAGGCAGTCCAAACAAACATAACTTTGAAACTGGACTTCAAATCAACACATTTGTAACAGTATTTTCCCCCCCTCTGTGCCAATTTCTGAGAGTTTGCCAAAGGGGTTTTGAGTTACGATATTTTAAAAAGTAAAACTGTGTCCCTCACATTCAGAAATAGGCAAGCCCAAATGACATCAGATTTAGAATATATCACATAAATCGAAAATACCAGTCTTGCTTATCTTGAAAGAAAACTGTTGTCCCCACTGGCTTCTTTTTTATTTGGAAATAATCCAGACAACGGAGGCTGAAATACTGATCCTCCAAAAAGGCTTTTCAAATGGGAAAAACATTGTTATAACACTGATCATGCATAGTTCAGATTTGACAGCAAGAGTTTCATCAAATGAATCATTTTATATATTTGAGGGAAAGAGGGATATATTTGGAAAGCTGAAGGTTACAGAGATAGAGTCAAAAGTCAGGTTTTCTTTAAAGAGTTTTAAAAAACCCAAACAAGTTTGCTTTAAAGAAATAATGGAATGATAGTCCTCCAGAAAGGGGGATATTTTGCCATTTATCTTCAGGGAATTAGCATACAATTTTGTAAGACATATTTGAAGTATTTCCCCTTACCTTAGAAAAATAGATAGCAGTTGCCTTTCCAGTAAACACTCTCGGGATTTCTGAGACCAAAAATCTCCTCATATAAGTTTTCAAAAGGGAAATCAGGAATAATGGAATGATAGTCCTCCAGGAAGGGGGATATTTTGCCATTTATCTTCAGGGAATTAGCATACAATTTTGTAAGACATATTTGAAGTATTTCCCCTTACCTTAGAAAAATAGATAGCAGTTGCCTTTCCAGTAAACACTCTCGGGATTTCTGAGACCAAAAATCTCCTCATATAAGTTTTCAAAAGGGAAATCAGCTCCACCTCTGGGGAAATCTAAACTTTTGACTCCGTCAGTTAGGACCCAGTTAGCTGACTCTTAGCTAACTTTTCAGCTTCTTCCTGGCCAAACAGACTAATGTGATTCATGCTTGCAAGGGGATTCTATGTCTAGTTGTAAAATTAAAGACACAGAAAGAATATTAAAAATTAGATAATACAAATATTAAAATTTGTAAATATATATATATAAAGTATATGTAAGGACGTGGTGGCGCTGCGGGCTAAACCACAGAAGCCTGTGCTGCAGGGTCAGAAGACCAAGCAGTTGTAAGATCGAATCCACGCGATGGAGTGAGCGCCCGTCGCTTGTCCCAGCTCCCGCCAACCTAGCGGTTCGAAAGCATGCAAATGCAAGTAGATAAATAGGGACCACCTTGGTGGAAAGGTAACAGCATTCCGTGTCTAAATCGCACTGGCCATGTGACCACGGAAGATTGTCTTTGGACAAACTCTGGCTCTATGGCTCGGAAACGGGGATGAGCACCGCCCCCTGGAGTCGAACACGACTGGACAAAAATTGTCAAGGGGAACCTTTACCTTTATATAAAGTACAGAACAAATATCAAGAAACTCACTCATTTTAATTTGTGAAATTCCTTTTTTTTGTTTTTTGTTTTTGGCTGGGGATGGACTTACTTAATGTTAGCAGATCTTTGGTGCCAAATCCTACCATAGTCTCCAGTTGGTAGCTGGTACCTCAACCATTCTACCCCCACTCCCAGATATATGCTCTCAAGACTACTTCTGATGTGTGGTGACTATGAATTAATAACCTCCCAAATGTCCTGCTATTGACAGCTCTGCTCAGATCTTGGAAATCAATAGGTCTCATCTTAGGTGATTCTCTTTTTGTTGTTGTTGTTTAGTTGTTTAGTCGTGTTTGACTCTTTGTGACTCCATGGACCAGAGCACGCCAGGCTCCCCTGTACTCCACTGTCTCCCGGAGTTTGGTCACATTAATGTTGGTCACGTCAGTGACACTGTCCAACCATCTCATCCTCTGTTGTCCCCTTCTCCTCTTGCCTTCACACTTTCCTAACATCAGGGTCTTTTCCAGGGAGTCTTCCCTTCTCATCTGATGGCCAAAGTATTGGAGCCTCAGCTTCAGGATCTGTCCTTCCAGTGAGCACTCAGGGCTGATTTCCTTCAAAATGGATAGGTTTGTTCTCCTTGCAGTCCAGGGGACTCTCAAGAGCCTCCTCCAGCACCACAGTTCAAAAGCATCCATTCTTCGGCGGTCAGCCTTCTTTATGGTCCAGCTCTCACTTCCATACGTCACTACAGGAAAAACCATAGCTTTGACTATGTAGACTTTTGTCGGCAAGGTGATGCCCCTGCTTTTTAAGATGCTGCCGAGGTTTGTCATCACATCTCTCTTTGTATTTCTTGCCATTTCTAGCAATATTATCTTTTCCAGTATTTTTGTTCAGTTCTTGCAAATTAAGAGCTGTGGAGTCCTTTATCAAGTCAATCCATCTCTTTATACTGTATCTCTACACCACTTTCCCCAGCATTCTCATAATATGTGCAAGATAGGATAGCCTCAATTTACTTATTTTTGCTTTAATGAGAGTTTGGACTTGACTTGATTGAACACCCACCTGTTTGCTTTTCTGGTTGTCTGTGGTATCTTACCTCCAACTGTGTGTTTCAAATTAGTTGATTCCTCCCCCCCCTTCTTTCTTTATTGTGTGTCCTTTATATAGTATGAGCGATTTTGACCTTAGTTTCCGGTGACAATGACTGTTTCCTGGACTAGAAGGGGTCCCATGTCCTGCCACTTCTTCATCTTTTTTTTTCCTGTGAATTCAGTGATTTGATTTGACATTCCATGAGCCCTTCTTTCTCTGTATGTGTACGTGTATGCTTTGACATATGTAGGCTTTTAACCATTCATTTCACATACCTCTGTGTCAGGTAAACTATTTATGCATCTGCACATGTCATCATATAGGAGCTTTGCATGAAGATCAGATCATCTTGTGTGTGTAAGGAGGTCCTGCTTTTATTTTTTTTGTTTGCAGTGTAAGCACAGTTTGTACTATGCATAAAATAAGAAGAATCCTTTAAAAAAACTGGACTGATACATCTAATTCATAATCCAGCTCTAGCAAATCAAGATGCCATATTTAGAAATGTTACTTTCTCACAGTATAACACACCAGTAGTTAGTATAGTATTTTCTAAACTGGCTGGAATATTCTCGGAGTTGTAGTACAGAAAAGGTGAATCTCTCATCCCAGACGGCTTCAGTTTTATTAGGACAATAAAGTGGGAGCAAAAACAAGGAAGGAATTTTTTAAAAAACAAAATACAAGTAATAAAGTAATTGAAAATAAATATTAACATTTCCTCACACTTATTTGTATCCAGATTTTTTTGTTCATTGCTTCCTAATCTGACCAACAATACTGCTGCCTTAGGATCAGAAAGCTGTCATGATAATAGTGAAATAAGCATAACAGAATTACATGGAAAAAGATAGTGTTCCTAAAAATTTATTGTTTCAATGTATGTGTATGTCTCCAAACACTGGACGTTACTCTTTGTTTTTTAATGGCTCAAAAGCATCCTTGTACCTTCTAATGAGTATATGGCAATTTTCCCTTGTTTTGAGGTGCATATCTAGGGCCTCCCATGGTTACCAATTTTAAAAAACATTGTTTTTTTTTTAACAAGCAGGCATTTTCACTTTGTTGGAAAAAAATGGGGTAGGGCATCGCTGGTGTGCACACAGCCATCTGAGGCCCTGGGATGGGTATATGTGGCTCTCAGACCTCTGGAAATGGCTGATTCCAGATCTAAGCAAAATAATAAAAACAGTCTTACTTTGGTTCAACAGGGACCTTGTGACAGCATGCTTATTTAATGCTGCTTGCAAATCCAATGCAACTTGTACTTTTTCACTCTCTCCAAAATTCCTAGCTGTTACTGAGCCCTTTGGAAAGGGAAGGGTGAGGACAAAGCATGGAGTCTGAAGTTATTTCAAGTTGAAGTTTTAATGCTCCCAGTTTTCTCACCTCACCTTGAAAGTGAACTTACTTCTGAAAGGATTTCACAGCAGGTGCCAAGCTTAAGGTTGCCCCAACTAGCAGGAAAAGATGGTTCAGCAGCAGGTAAACCCCAGCATTTCTGTTGATGAGTTTCTTGCCTTAGTTTCATTCTGATTTGTCAGAGGTATCCAAAAGCTGCTTTATTATTGGGCTGTAACATCAGCTAAGCCTGCTTCTGTTTATCTTGGAACAATCAAACTCAGGAGGCTAGCCTATGGCAGGAGAATGAGGGGGAAAGTTGAGGAAATTTGGCTGCACTGGTGTTGGAAGCTGCCACAGTCATGGACAGGTGCCTGCCCATGAGTGGCCAGTGCATACTTCCATGGAAGTGACAAGAATAGATTTTGTGCTCAACCCCACCTACTGCTAAAGTCCAGTCGGTTTCATAGCTGCAACTGTCTCTTGAAGTTTAAAGATGTAACCTTTTGCCCAAAGAGATCTGAGCAGGCCTAAGGACTCTTGAGGAGAGCCCTTTGTGTCATTGAGAGTTACCCTAATGCTGGCACTCTCTCTCTCTCTCTCTCTCTCTCTCTGTGTTTCCATATAATATAATGTAATATACCAGGTAGCATAATATGACTATGGAAAGGGGAAGAAATATGATATACACAGTGACCAAATCAGAAATGAAAGAATCAGAACAAATGTTTGTAAACTGTTGCCATACTAGTCAACATTCTGGAAATCATACCGAATGAGACATCATTTTTTTTCTGTGATAAAGATTCAGAGAAAAGCTAGGAAAGTTCCTTCCTTTTATTGAATTCCTTTTCAACCGCTTCCTTGGTGTGTCTCTAAATTATCTATATTGATGTCTCTCTTCTTCCATTTTTAGTGAGTAGCCTGGTTTCATAAATAATTAAGGGTTCAAATCCACCGAAGAGTGATGCTGTGCTGGCATGACCCTCTTTCTCTTCCTTTCCTTCTCATTACCTAACCCAGTCCCTCCAGAACACCTTTTAAATTTTTCCTTTTTGCTTCTGTGTGAGCTGATCGTGTTCCTTTGCACTGAGAACTCTGAGGAGGAGACAATCCTCCTCTGCACTTCTTCTTTTTTGTCTGATTTAAAAAATAACACAGGCAACTTCTGCTTAGCACTGACTGACTTCTTCCACTCAGTGTTTACATGATGAGAATTGCTGAGTCTCCACCCCAGCGTTTCACTTTATCCCTAATGGGCTTTGTAGGTGTTTGGTGCCTCAAAAAACCAACTGATGGAACGAAGATGTGTTCTGTCTTGTGGGACCCACTGAGCATATTTTCAGAAGAGAAGCCTGTGTTTTTCCATGCTATCCAATGGATAGGCTTCATTTCTGAAACAATTCCTCATCGCATAGGTCCTTATGACATTAATTTAAGGGGGGGGACTATAACATTTATTTATTTTATTTAAAATATTCTTAATCTGCCTTTCTCCTAAAAAGAGACCCAAAGTGGCTTACATTATTAAAAACATAATATTAAAAGACATAATATTAAAACAGTAATATTACTAGTGATTGGGAATAACAGTTAAGAAAAGATGTTTGAAGGGCCTGCAGACGAGTGAGGGAAAATAATGTAGTAGAATATTGTTAACGTAGTGAAATTATAAGCAGAAAGTGCTTATAATCAGCTCCTTTCTGGAGGGCAGTGTTGTGTCTCATTCCAGGAAGAATCCAGTGCTCCAAAGCCAGTTCTGTCATAATTTATCTTCCAATTTTCCAGAAGTTTTATTTCCTCATGAAAAGGGTTTCCATTTTTCTGCATCATTCTCACTGCCCTTTAGAATTTCTTTTGCTTATTTTTTTAAAGTTTACCATAACATTGCAAGGTATATGCAAGGACAGTGCAACTGGTTTTCTTTCCTTTTCTGTTTTTCATATATCTCTCCATCACTCTGTAGCTTCCCTGGCTATCCAACCCTTTTTGATAAGAATCTCCTCAAGGAAAAGTTATCCTATAGTATGTTTCTCTGGGCTTTAGTGGAGAAGCTGGGGAGGCTGCCAGCTGGCACAGAGATGATTATGGCATTAAAAAATGGGACACTTGTGTACATCCTCAGCCACCTTACAAGTTAGGATAACCAAAAGCCTACAGAAATCTTACTCATAAGAATTTTTCCAAAATTTATCCTCTTTTGAAATTCTTCTCAAAAGGAAATTGATTTTCTATAAACTGAAAAAGAGTGGTCAGAATTATCGCAGGAGAAATTTCTGGCACAGAACTAGCGGTTCTGTAGTATCCATTGGAGAAGGGCAAGGGAACAGGTGATACATGGTGGGATTACTACAGTTCCCCTGTTGCCAAGGTAACATGAGATTCAGCTGGGTTGAAAAACAGAAAAGAAAACAGAACAAAAGTGTGAGCAGGAGGAAAGAGACACTGTAGGGTAAATGAACTGAGTTGACCCCACTTGGAAGATATTCTGAGATTCATAAATATTTCATCCTGACTGCACGCATGCTGCTGGAAGGCTAACTTCAGGACATTTCCCCCTCCCTCCTCTCCCTGGTGTTGTGATTTGTTCTGCTTCCTGGAATAGTCCTGTGAAATGGCTTGGGTGGGGTGAGGTGGGCGCGTCTGTGTGACAGCAAAGCATCTGTTTACATTCTGCTAGCATTTTTAGCTTCTGAAAGTCTTTATTAATAAGCTGAGTAGACAAATGTGCCACCAAATCAAGCAGCATGCAGTCCTCTTCAAAGAGGAAAATTCAAGTGCAGCTGTGAGAGGTAATTAATATTCCCATTAAATGCAACTTGCACAGTCAAGCAAGCGCTATTGTAGAATCTTATTATTAATCTACCAGGGAGGCTTTTGCTTCACACATCCCTCTAGTTCTTACTTTGCAATTATCAACTTTATTGCAACACAATACATGTTGGATTGGACTGAAGTGCCATTTGGTCGAACCTGCTACAGTGAGATGGGGTTATTTGCACACCAGGTGATTAATCAATTATTCCAGGCTGCATGGTATTTGTTTATTTAAAGCTCTTTTTTATTAATATTCTTCTGCTGAAAAGACTTATGATGACCTTATGGCACTCCAAAATGTCCAGTCCTCAGCCACCCTGCTCAGCTCTCGTAGACTCAAGTCTGTACAATGAATTGAAAACAAGATGATTCCTATCTGCAGGCTTATAGGCTTGAAGATACACCATAAAAGGAAAAGAACGGGGAGTGAGGAGAAAAAAGCAAACTTGTTTTTCCCATTCTTAACATTATAAAGTGATGTTACAAAGAGAAGGTGTGTCTCACAAAATGCCTGCCCATCAAATAACTCTACCTGGTTGAAACGAGTTAGCCAAGCAAGGACTTCGGGTATCTCTCCTACGCCAAAAGGACTAGCTGGCTCCTAGGATGATGACTATTCATACCTGAGCTTTAACAACAGAAAGACAAACACCCACCCACTGAGCTTTTCAAGATAACATAGATGTCTTTTTTAAAGATAGTAGGTATATAAATATTAAGGGGACGTGGTGGCGCTGTGGGCTAAACCGCAGAAGCCTGTGCTGCAGGGTCAGAAGACCAAGCAGTCGTAAGATCGAATCCACGCAACGGAGTGAGCGCCCGTCACTTGTCCCAGCTCCCGCCAACCAAGCGGTTCGAAAGCATGCAAATGCAAGTAGATCAATAGGGACCACCTCGGTGGGAAGGTAACAGCGTTCTGTGTCTAAGTTGCACTGGCCATGTGACCATGGAAGATTGTCTTTGGACAAAACGCTGACTCTATGGCTTGGAAACGGGGATGAGCACCGCCCCCTAGAGTCGAACACGACTGAACAAAAATTGTCAAGGGGAACCTTTACCTTTACCTTTATATAAATATTAAAAAGAATTAAATAAGTACTACATTTTTAAAAAGGGGGGATGTGGTGGCACTGTGGATTAAACCACAGAAGCCTCTGTGCTGCAAAGTCAGAAGACCACCAGTCATAAGATCGAATCCATGCAACGGAGTGAGCTCCTGTCACTTGTCCCAGCTCCTGCCAACCTAGCGGTTCGAAAGCATGTAAATGCGAGTAGATAAATAGGTACCACCACGGTGGGAAGGTAATGGCATTCCGTGTCTAGTCACGCTGGCCACGTGACCACAGAAACTGTCTGCAGACAAACGCTGGCTCTACGGCTTGGAAACGGGGATGAGCACCGCCCCCTAGAGTCGAACATGACTGGACTAAATGTCAAGGGGAACCTTTACCTTACCTTTACATTAAAAACAGTAATAAAATCAATACTTAAAACATATTTAAAACAACAGAGCACAACCATTCATTTTAAAAAAATCCCTCTCAGACCACTAGTTATTAAGGGAAAGTTTGCCTGAACAGAAAGCTCTTTGCCTGCTTGCGGAAGGACAGGAGTGATGGGGCCAGCTTGGCTTCCCGTGGGAGGGAGTTCCAGAGTCTGCAAGCAGCAACAGAGAAAGGCCCTCCCATCTGTGAGAAAAGCCTCCCCTGATAATCCTACAGCCTGGGCAGGCTCATAGAGAGAGAGGTGGACTTTTATACACCAGTTGAAATGAATGGTACGTGTTATCACTGCATACTTAAATCCCATTGATTTCAGTGTGTGTATGAGTTACATTGGATTTAACCCAGCGTGCATGTGTTTGAAATAAAATAAAACAAAATGGTGAAAACCCTCTCCCCTTTCAGGTTTCTTTTTGTCCAACAGTAATTTTGCCTAAAATGCAGTTTACCAGAAGAAACCAGCTAAAATTATACTGCAGTTCCTTTTTCTCTGGTAGGTTTAGTCCGATGGGTGTTTTGTGCCTTTCTTGAAGTTCCTTTCCTCCATTATCCTTTTTTAAATAAGAGTACAGAAAAGTAGCAATGGCTTGGGAGTGGGGAAATCTGCCAGTTACTTCTGCAGAGGTTTGTCTTGTTTTGTACTTCTCTGCACCACCTGCAAATTGTTCTTGTAACATTCCAGGACGTTGGCATATTGCCAGTGGGTGGACAATCTCCATGAAACCCAGAAGATGCTTTCTCTTAGTGGCCCCTTCAGTGACCTGCTAAAGTGGATTTTGTGCCATATAACTAAAGGAATTGTGAAGCGGGAAATGTATGGCCATGGCATTGGTCGGTTCTCTGAGGAAGAGATTTACAGGTTGATGGAGAAAGACATGCGCTCTCTAGCTGGTCTTCTGGGTAATGTACAGTGCATTTCATTACAATACCTGTTACGTACATTGATCTTGTGTGAGCATGTGACCCTTTTGAGAAACTTTCCTTGCTTTCTAGCAGTCTCTTCTGGCAGCCTCAACCCTGAGCTCAGGTGGGGGGGCGGCACAGCCTCATTTGGCCTGGGTGGCCAGCCTCCAATGGTGCCTGCTGCTGTCTGGATAGCCACTCAGCCTCCATGGGCCTGGACTTGGAGCCAGCTCTTGTCACCTCAACTGGGTGCGTTAAAAAACCAATAGGAATACATAGATGACTCTTGCAAGGCAACCAAGCTGTACATTTTGGAGGATTAGTCATTTAACAAGTAAGTTATTGCCACTATCACTTAGTTGAACGCGAGACTAGAAAAGAGCTTGCTAAAATCAGGCCTGCACAACTGGCATCTCACTTAATTTGACACAGTTTATGAGCCAGGTAAAGAGGCCAACCGGGAGCTTTGTGAACCTTTTTTTTTAATTGAGGTATTTCCTACCACAAACAGAGGGAGGAACTGTCAATTGCTCTTGACAGATCCCAACAGAGAGTCCTTAGATATGTCAAGCCACAAGTTGTGCGGGCTTCAGTAAAAGAAAGAACCTTGAGTAGTAGTAGTGGCAGGTCCCCACTGGTGGGGCAGAAGGCACAGCAGCCAGTGGCAGGAAAAGAGAGAACTCATATAGACACATACATGCAAAGTCAGGCAAACAAGTATTCACATATACACAGAGAGGGAAGTAAGTAAACATTTGCTCAGCCACTCCCTCGCCTGCTTCCCATTCATTCACCCCACATGCTGATTAAAAAATGTACGTTGACCCTAAATCAGAAATGTCCATGTCTGTTGCTGTCTCTGCCTTCTCCCTCCCTGACATTCCTCACCTGACATTCATCCAGAGCAGGGGTCTCCTGACTTCTCGGTGTGAGGGCTACATCATACATTTTACACATTTCCAAGGGCTGGAGGAGGGAAGGGGGACCTTTGCAAAGACAGCAGGGGTGGGGATTGCTTGGGTCCCCTTCCCTCCGCTTCCTAACCCTGGGCTGGATGTGGCCCACGGGCCATAGTTTGGAGACCCATGATCCAGGGTGTGAGGCTGGGAGGTCAGCATAAGGGAAGTACGGGCAGGATTCTGGTCCTCCACAATCCGGTAATCCGGTGGGCAGGAGTGAGCTAGTTGGAAGTAGCCTGAGTTTAAAATGGGGGAGTGTCGCTTTTGCCCCAATGGATGCTTCCATGCAGGAGGTATGGTGATGCTGGAACCTAATAGGGCTGGAATGTTTTTTTGCTTCATCTTTTTTTGTTGTTTTTTTTTAAAAAAATACTGTATTTTATAGTCAGGGGTGAGCCAGCTTGGTAAGTTTCTGGTTACAAATGTTTGTTTTATTATTTTGACCTTATTTTGCTTCTGCCTAAGTAAATGGGTTTAGCAACAGAACAGCCAAAGTAAATTCCATTTTATTCCTTAGTCATGATGCATGGAGATTTAAATATATTCAATGAACTCTTCAGAGTATTTCTTGTTCATTTTTAAGCAGCACTGGCAAACAGGTTTCTTTTATACTGTTTTAGGAATGAAGAAGCACTTATAAAGCATGAGAATGGTTCTTAGAAGAGAAAGAACAAACGTTATGTTTGTGCTTTACAATTGAAGCAATATCTAGCCCTCCCAAGTTGCCCAAGGATAATAGATCTAGGGTCTAAAGTTACCCAGCAGCCTCTCTGCAGGTACTTGTTGTAAAGTACTTGAACAGACTGAGCAATGAAGTCATGCACAAATGAGTCAGTAGAGGGCAAGTAGATTGAAGGTAGCCTGCCTTTGGGCAGAGAGATAGCTAATATTGGAAGCTTTCAAAATCTTCTTTGGGAAAGCTTATCAGTTGTAGCCAGCGATGGGCTTAGTTGACCACAGCTAATTCTGCAACAATGCATAGCTATAAAAGCATAGTATGTTATTAGGTGGTTCTGTGTGCATTCTTGGTTCCTTTGGGCTAAAGGATGCTACTACTTAATGTCTTTATCCAGCAGCCCATTCATACATGTGCCCAGGATGCTCTGTACTGTTTCACCCTGGTTCTCCACACAGAGTACCTAGAACAGGACTCAGCAACTTTCATGGGCCTGGGGGCCTATTTTCCATCATTGTGATCTCAAGGGGCAACACGGACCACCAAAAACATGAGCAGCGGGGGAGGCAGAAGTAGCCTTAGGTATACTTTTGGTTTTGAAAAGTGGGCATTTTTTGGTATTAAAAACATTGCAAAGAGTGTGTGCAACCTATTCAAAAGGAAGATCACTGCTCCCGGTGGGTTCTAAGAGTAGCAACCTCCCCTTTTTTGGTTGGAAAACCCTTTTTGGAGGGGTGAGGGCAGGGAGTATAATAGATTTAGGAGAATAAAACAGCCTCAGGAGAACATTAAATAGAGTTTTTATCATTCTGGCAAAATGATTTCAAGGACAACAATACAGTGGTGCCTCGCTTAACGGGCACCTCGTTTAACGACGAATCTGCATAGTGAGGAATTTTTTGCGATCGCTTTTGAGATCGCACTGTGATACTTTAGATAGGGAAAAATCGCTTTGCGATGACCGGTACCCTGTTTTGCATACTGATCATCGCATAGCGATGATTTCCCAACAGCTGATCGGTGGTTCCAAAATGGCCGCCGGGTAAAAAAATTGCTGCCCGCTGTGTTTTTGCCCGGATTCCTTGCTTACCAGGCAGCGAAAATGGTGGCCGTATGGAGTATTTTCGCTTAAAGGTGAGTTTACAGCCCATAGGAACACATTGAAGGGGTTTCAATGCATCCCTATAGGCTTTTTTAAACTGCATAGTGACGAAATCACTTTGCAGCGATTTTTGCTGCACGGATTATCGTTGCTATGCAGGGCACCACTGTAGATCTCTCCACTTTTTATCCTGTGCATAGTTTGAGTAACTGGCTGGTGCTCTTCCCCAAATCTCCAGTGCTAAATTGCAAAGTGCTTCAAAAATCCAGACATTTTAAAGAAGGATTCATATGTCAAGTTGGATTTTGTTTATTTGTGCACTGTCAGTTTCTCATTCTATTTGCAATGCAGTGTTAGCTATTTCACTCCTTTTCCTGTATATAGTCATTTCCTTGGCAAAAGGAACGTGTAGTTCTGGTATTAACCCAGATCTAAATTCTAGGATGTGCATATATTTTCCAGAATACACGAGTCATTCTGATTTCCTCTTGGAAATGAATATAGTGACCCTATGAGTCAACTGAGCTGGCTAGATAGCTCAGTGGTTTAGGTATCTGGCTGTGGAGCCAGAGATTTGGAGTTTGATTCCCCACTGTGTCTCCTGTGAGTAGAAAATAGTGAAAGGAACTGGTACATCCACTGAAATACTAGGTCAGAAAAAGAGAGGAAAACTGTAGTCCCAGGATGTAGAAAATATAATGCTCTTTATTCCTGTAGAAAATGCCAGATGTGTTTCGGCTTATCAGGCTTCTTCAAGGGCATATTTACTTACCTCTAATTAGATCTATTTCTGTTTATTCAATTTGTGACCAGTTCTGCTAAATCAATTTCTAAAATTGTTGCAGGGAGGAACATGTATCTGATGACTGTCATATCTGCAGATTTTCCCAACAGGATTCTGACCCAGATCTTTATTTTTATCACTTGGTCACCCAAAGGGCCAAGAAGTAAAAAGGTGGTGGTGGGGAAGCCGTTCGATGGGGAGGCAAGAAATTGCCTTTTTTTCCTTTGTCACTTGGGCTAGAGTCTAGCATAAGCCTGGAGCTTTGTGGCCGTGCTGTGGTTGACCATCTGGAGACGTTGTTAGTCACCACAGCTGCCCAAACAAGTGCTTCAGTCAAAGATGCTTGAGAATTTTACTGCAACCAAAAATCAGACCCATAAATGAGGAGATGCATCTTGACCGAAGCTAATTATTCTCTATGAAAAGTGCACATCTGCGGCCAATTCTCTGAGCAGAATTCTGCATTGTCACAAACACGTTTGACTCTTAATTGGCCTTGCAGAAGGCTTCAAATGTGGGAACATATCTTAAATGTTGCATCCTCTCTTCCTTGGCGATTTAATTGGCCCCAAATCCCTGTACCGATGTCAGGCCCCAGTAGCTGGTTCTGCTCTATAGACTGACCAGAATAAGGCTAGCGTAAAGGATAGTGATGGGGTGAGAGGGTGCCATTAAGCAGGGTGGGACTAAGATAGTGAATAACACGCCAAGTTAGTGAATAACAAAAATGAGGAACGTGCCAAGTGACTCACAAATGTCTGTTGATGCTGCTTTGTTTTGTAGGCGACAAGAAGTACATCATGGGACCCAGGCTTTCCACTTTGGATGCCACCGTTTTTGGGCATCTAGCACAGGCAATGTGGACCTTACCAGGAACTAGGCCTGAGAGGCTAATTAAAGGTAGGATCAAAGTGGTGTCTATGAGCCAGATTTTCAGTGTTCTTTTCCCGCTCTCAGATCAATAATGTTTTGCCAGGCGCTATGGATTATAGCATCTGGATTATACATGACTTTGTTTGCCTCACACAACTCTGACCAAGCCACATCTGCCTCTGGGTAGAGGAGGCCAGAGAGCAGTTACGTATTGTGCCAGATCTATGTAAGGCTTCCGGCATTGGCCTTTGGAGAAAAGACAAGGGTGCCATTCAGCAAGATGGGAATGAGACAGTGAAAAGAGTCGTGAATAGGCTTTTTGTGCTTCTCTTTGGAAAGGTAACCCTGGATTAAGAAATTTGAGTCTTGCAGCCTCTTGCATTCAGTGAGAGCCTCCCCCCTCCCACAAACCCTTATTTTCTCCTTGCAGGGTGATTTCTCTAAATTTTTTCTTTCCCACTTCCCCAGAGAAATCTTGCAGGATTCCTTGGTTGTTTCACAGTCTTTTCTTCTTCTGGAAGTAACACCAACGTGTGCAGAATTATTAGCATTCTTGTGCAAAATTGCATCTTTCCTTTCCTGGAGAGGACTTTGCACAGAACTCAGCAGGATTTTTGCACAAATAGTAGGCAAAAATGGGGTGGAGAAGTGTCAAAAGGTGTCTTTTTTGTGAAAAGTTGGAAATCTTGCATGGAAAACCACAGAGAATAAGATTTTTTTTTGTGTTTAATAATCTTCACATCCTTACCCTGGATTCTGTGAACTGCATTGCACATTTAGGCAAGTACATTTCTGCATGTTGTCTTCCTTTGGTGATTTTGGGGTGTACACCGTGCTATGAAGTCCTGTACGTGCTGAAACCACCAAAGGATGGCTTTATTCAGGTGCAATCTCCTGCTGCCACTGTCATCATTCCCAGTCTCCAGGTGGAAAGGTGCAACAAAGTTATGTTACCTGTTGCTAGTGAGTAACAGATACTTGTGATTTTCTTTAAAATTAGAATTGTTTAAATTTTAAAAATAAGAGATCCAAAGTTTGGGCGTGACATGGCATGGGATAACCAAATACTAAAGATATTTGTTGCACTATGTCAGTGCATGTATGTTCTAGTGCAAACAACTCATTTATTTATTTATTTATTTATTTATTTATTTATTTATTTATTTATTTATTTATTTATTTATTTATTTATTTATTTATTTA